GATTATGTTTCTTTTGTACAAGGAGGATAATAAAGATCTCTCTACATTTAATAGATTTATGATGAAATCACGGATGGCCTATGTATTAGAAAAGGATACATCGCACTTATTTCGAGAAAGTTATTCCTTGACCATTGATTTCCCGAAAGGTGTTTAATCTACCTGCTCCCTATTACTACCTACCGAACATTGAGCATTGGGGGCCAAGGTATAAATAGACCTTTTTCCTATTTAATATTTATTCTTTAGTGAAGAAAAAATTTGTACAACCATCTTATCCTTCTTTTGATGCCTTCTACACAAGAAAATACTATGTTGAGATTAGGTCTGCAGGTTGTAAGTTATAGCTTGTGATGACTGATGCGCATTAGTTTGCATTTCTTGTTTTCTATCCTAAGATTAATATTTTTATTTTTTTAAAAAATTTTGGAATTGTATTTGTGAAATTATGATTGGTTGGGGTAAGCATTGAATAATCTGTCAGAACTGTGTAGGCACCAATTACTTGCTCAATGTTTTGCATTGTTTATTTTTCTAACTTATGCAGTTATGCCTGCCATTACTGGTTTGCTGAGCAATGACAGTTAAGTAATTGTTTTCTGAGCGAATTAGTAGCTCTGCCCAAACTGAACTACTCTGAAATTGATTAGCCTGTTTGAGTAGGGTTATGATTTTAGCTTCTATTGAGATACATTAGGCTGTACGTACCAGTGTCAGTTCCATAAATGAAGGATGTTCTATTATAATGACTCGTTTACGGTAAAAAGAAGTATTTGTCTTCTTTCAAGTTTTCTTTCTCAACTTTCATGCCCCTCGACTATATCGGGTACTGAATCTGCTTCCCCCTTGTGATGCTACGTACTGTGTCGTACATATTGGACCAGCTGATTGTCGGCATTTGGTTTTGACTTTTGGGGGGGGGGTATGATCAGGTACTCCATACCGGCAAATTCAATCCTATTGCAAACTTTTAAGGCTTGATCCCTGTGCAAGACTTGAAAAATTTGCTGATGAAATGATAGGTGCAGGCTTGGTCCTTGTGCAAATTTGATTTAGAGCTCTTTGCTCCTCTTTTCTCTATCCAGACCTCTCTCTCTCTCTCTCTAGATTGACAGCGGTTGGTTAGGGTTTGTGTAAATAAAGAAGTGATTAATGAATCTGTGTATGAGTTTTTGGCTTCAAAGTACATATCAGTAAGTTGCTAGATAATGTAAACTTAAGAGCTTAGCTTCATTTTAAGTCACAAAAATGTTTTGATGGAATTTTTAAATATAAAGTGGGTCAAAGGTAGTTTTTTTGGGCCCTTATACTATGCCCCTAATTATATCATTTTTTTGATGAAATATTATAAATTTCAGGTATTTTGAAAAGAAAATAATAGGCTATTTCCATTCAGGAAGTAGTGTACTGTTAACATGTATCTATTGTCACAAATTCCCCATAATGTACACATGGGCATACTGAGTACTTATTAAAAAATATTTAGTTGGTGGTGCTGAAGCAGTTTTTCTTTTTTTTTTTTTTTTATTTTTTATATATTTATATTTCTATTATTTACTACAACCCGATTAAGCCATTGCATATTGTAGTGACCACTTTGCTATCTTTGGATTCTCCTTGACCCTATTACTGCAATCAAAGTGATTATGTCAAATAGGTTGTGAATTATTTAGTATCTCCTTGGCCTAGAAAATTGACTTCGTTTATTCAGGATTTTAGATATTAACTGTCATAAGCAGGCATTCAAATTCTGCAGCAGATTGTCAGATATTTATGTATTGGGCCTCTGATAGGCTTGGATGCATCTGACTAAAATTTCCTGGTGAAAATGAACACTTCGATATGGATAGGAAGCATGACAAAAAAAAAAAAATACTAGATTGTCACTTTTCTGACTCTTCTTATGATCTGCTTCTTACAGATGATGCTGAAAGACAACAACTTGTTAAAGAGATATCAAAGGATTGGAGTTCCGGTAACACAACAGTCTTGACTCCTTATAATTTATAATAAGTTTGTCACTTGGCTTTGGCTAATGTATTGCCTTTTGTGGCTAGAAGGTTTTTATATTTTTTTTTTTTTTTTTTGCATGTGTTAAGTTCTGGCAATTTAATTTTCATTGCAGTTTTTGAGAGAAGCATAAATACTTTGTTTCTCACGGAGATGGTTCGAGGATTATCTTTGACTCTCAAGTATTTCTTTGATGACAAAGTGACTGTGAGTGTCTTCTTAGTGTTCTTACTCTATATTTGCTGCTCAATTTTGGAACATATTTTGTCACAGCTACTTTCAGATGGCAACATGTTTTATACACTTCTATTTTGCAGATCAATTACCCATTTGAAAAAGGCCCTTTGAGCCCTCGTTTTCGTGGAGAGCATGCTCTCCGCCGTTATCCAACAGGAGAGGAACGCTGCATTGCCTGTAAACTCTGTGAAGCTGTGAGATCTACAGACTTTTATATTCTCTCTTCTAATGATATGTTATCTTTCTATGATATATTAATTTCCGTAGGGTACTATTCTGCTGCATATTTAAAGATGGAGTTCTGGACCTTGTCATATTAGAGGGATGAATCTAGGGAGTGCATTCTCTATCATTTGACAGTCACCTATAATATAATTATTCGAAAAATATAACTGTCTTGTAGGGTTGGTATTCCTTATAGGTTTATGTGCTATAATGCCTGCCCATCATACACCCTAGCCTGAAAACTATAAAAATTGATGTAGATGAAGGTTGAGACACAGGTTGAACTTTTATGCTAATCTAGGCTTCTTTTCGTATGATTAGGACAAATTATGAAAGATGGGCAGAGACAGTTGAATGTCTATAATGACAAAAAGCTCTCACCTGTCTCTTTTCTATTTCCATAAGATTATATGATGTATTAGGATCTAATTAGTTTGAAAATCCTCTCTTATTTGTGTTGTTTAGTTTGTACTGGAAGTTTACTTATTAGATGCGAAAATTTTGTAATCCTGTCTTCCAGTTATTGGTTCCTTGCTTCTGCCTTTCGCTGTTTTTGTCATCTCCTTCCAGTAATGCGTAGTATAGGAATGCATACGCTTGATGTAGTATGCGCTATGATTATGGTCTAATTGATAGATCTGCTTACTAGCTTTGCCAATCACGTGCTGTTGGCTCTTTGATAAAGTGTGGTGAAAACTAAAATTCGAATTTCTGTCTAATATTAGGTCTGCCCTGCTCAAGCAATAACTATTGAGGCAGAAGCAAGGGAAGATGGAAGTCGTAGGACAACCAGGTAAATACATTTACTTGTTTTGAAAATCTTATGTACTCGTACTTGGTTATTGAAGTGTCTCACCGATGACGTATTAATTGAAGGTATGATATTGACATGACAAAATGCATCTACTGTGGATTTTGCCAAGAGGCATGCCCTGTTGATGCCATTGTTGAAGGACCAAACTTTGAATTTGCAACAGAAACTCACGAGGTTAGTAAATTCCTGTTAAAATCCCTGTTGTGTACGACAGATTGCTTAAATGAAAGAAGAATTTATTTATCGACAACAAACCAAATCCTCTCCCTCCTTTCTTTTCTCTCATTTGTTATGTTTAAAAGCTATCTCTGAAGCATCTGTTCATCAAATTGTTGCAGGAGCTTCTGTATGACAAGGAGAAACTGCTGGAAAATGGTGATCGATGGGAAACTGAGATCTCAGAGAATTTGAGATCAGAAAGTTTGTATCGCTGATCTCAGTTGCTTCGATGAGGCTATGATATTTTCCTTTTTTGTGGCTTCTGAATCAAAACCAATAAAATTTCTCTGTTTGGAGTTTCAGAGATCATTTTGTTGTTAATTGCCCTTGTAAAACGTTGTTAAATTGCAATCTTGTAGATTTTGGTATATGTTTAGCCTTTACTCCATTAGTTTTGGCTGCTAAATAACTCAACTTATATGCCAGGGCGCCCTAGGCCATATTTCATTCCCTGCAGGGAAAACACATTGGGCCTATATACTACGTATTATTTTTAATCGAAGTCGGTTCTTTAGAAGTAAACTTTTCATTTTGGCATCCTTAGACGTGACCAAATTCTACTAGGCTGGGAATAGGTTGGGCTGGCAAGTACTAAGCGTGGCATGACACGACATGCTAATTGGTTGTGGGCTACTGGACTTGCATGGACAAAATCAGCAGGAGAATGATTTGTTCGACCATTCATTTCTCAACCTAAATCTTTAAAGGGGTGGAACAGAGGCCATTGGCATTGGCCCTGCTCCAATTGGCATGACAGAAGATTGGGGGCTGGGTTGTGAAATCGTGAATTCTTATTTAATTTAATTTTTTTTGGAAAAAGTACATTAGGAAACTCTCTTCCCAAGGATAATAAGGGGTTGAGGCGCAAACCTAGCCTACAAACAAGTTCAGTCAATAAAGAAATGAAAATTACATTAGGAGTTCCCCTGACTTCTAATATTTATTTTTTCTTATCTTTTCAAAAAAAAGAAAAAGAAAAAAAAAAAAAAGAAATGGAAATACAATAAGGAGAATAGAGGAAAATGTTCGGAGAGATTGTACATTATTCTATGAACAAAAGTGATCTATAGAGTACTACGTATATATATATAGTAATATAATTAGCGTTTGTTTGGAGAATAATTAACAATATTCAATAACTAATCAAATATATAACATAAATTAATTCTTATATAATTAGTGTTTGTTTGGAGAATAATTGACAATATTCAATAACTATATCAGATATATAAGTATTATAGGCATCCATCTAACACGATTATTTTATAACAAGAACATTAATTCATATATTTCATATACTCCAACTAAATATCCATGCATAACTCTACTATACTTAGAGGTGTCAATTTAAGTGTTTGGGTCGGGTTCGGTGAGCTCAAATCGGGTTGGGTCTATTTTAAACTAGAATTATGCTAAATTATTGTATAATATAAGTTAAAATCTGAATCACATATTTTTTTAGATCGGTTTCGGGTCGGAACAGGTTAGGTCGAAAACAAGACAATGTTACGATTTGGATCTGTAAACGGAAGGCCACATTGGCAAAATGACAAGTAGAGTGAGTTAAACAAAACCCATGGCGCCACTCTATCCAAAATGAAAAAATCATGATGTTTTGCCACACCACCACTTCCACCACCTTCCTCCACCTCTCAACCCACCATAACCCCCACCACCAATCTTCTCCTTTCATCACCAATTTTTCTCTCTCCTCCTCCCAAAACCCTCAACCTTCCGACCCCCCAAAACCCCCAATCTTAAACCCTAATACCCAACAAATTCTCCGGACCCACAACTCCAAATCCACCTCCTTCCTCCTTCTTAACCCCCACCAACAACAATGGCTTCCACCCCACGAGAAAAACGACGACGTTTTGTTATCAGAAGAAGAGAAAGCAAGAATTCTGGAATTGACCCTTGTTAGAAAACGCCCACCTCAATTTCCGGGTTCAATTTATACCCGCCCACCTCATGGAAATGACCTTTCTCTCCCTCCTTTGAATACCCTTTTGAAGGGTGATGATGATAGTGAAGAAGGTGAGATTTTGATGAAGGCTATTAAGATAAGGAGGGAAGTTTGTTTGGAAATTTTTATTGATTTTCTGGTTAGAAAGGGTAAATTTGGTATTACTTATTCTAAGAATATGGGGTCTAATTTGGGTGATTTCATTGATTTGGTTATGATTGAGGCTGCTGCTTTGAAAAAAGTTCCTGAATTTTCGAGTTTTTCGTTTAATGCTCGAGCTCGAAAATTTATTGAGGAGTCTAATGTTGTTCCTCTTATTAGGTGAGCTGAATTTCTCACTCTTTTTTGGATTTTGGTTATGTTTTGCTTGTGAATTGCGTAATTGTATGTTTATTATCGTATATGTATGGATTTAATGTTTGTTACTTCGTACTTTTTTAAATTGCTTATTTTGGCGCATAGAGAGCTGCCAAGGGCGATAGTGTAGACGAGATCTGATTTCCAGTAACACTCCTATAACTTTACCATGTTTTCCTGTTTTTTGAGTGAGTAGGTTGATTGGTTTCATGATTAAATTCAATATTGATTCTTTTTAATGCTTATGTATGATTAGATAGTTGAGATGATGCTTTTGTACATTGTTGATTTTAGTTCCCTTCATAGGTTAGCAAATTCTTTGACTCTGTTTCTGGAAAAATCATGTTGCATAGGTAAATTCCAGAAGGGTAATATATTGCACTAGCCACATTGGTTTGATTTGCAAAGTCGTATTGAAAAGTTAGTTGGCATACGAAAGGTCCCAAAGAATTTGTAGTTGATAAAAGCTACCTTAGCTTGTTTAGCTATTGTTTTGAGGAGGTTGATCCGTTGATGTGAGAGAAATCACTTGTTTCTTTGATTATATTGTAGGTGGTTGAAACACAATTCATTGTCACACCCTCAGATTGGTAGAATCATATGCATGGCAAAGGGGGATGTCCAATTAATAAGAGAGCATGTAGAGTGGCTAAAGTCAATTCATGTGAATGGAAGATACATAGGAGTTGTGTTCACGAGAGTTGGAGAGACCATTTTGAGGCATAGCATAGAAGAAATGGATGAGATTGTTGTGTATCTAGAGAAAAAAGGTGTGAGGAGGGATTGGATGGGTTATGTCATCAGCCGATGCCCTGAATTATTGGCTTTTAGCATGGAAGAAGTGAAAACTCGTGTGAGTTTTTACACAGACATGGGCATGAACAACCATGATTTTGGTACGATGGTTTATGATTTCCCCAAAGTCCTTGGCTATTTTGCTTTAGAAGAGATGAAGCAAAAGGTATAATGACTGCATTTCTTTTTGTTTAATCGAAACTGATAATGAGAGCCATATTAGACTCATTAGATAATAGGAGTAATTATTAATAGCCAAATGATGGTAGAACAGTGCTCAAAGATTAATAAATATTGTCACCATGTACCTAATTTCAATGGAATACAATATTCATCTATAAAGGTGATTGTGACTTTTGGTTTCAGGTAAACTATCTAAAAGAATTTGGGCTAGGCGACAATGATGTTGGAAGATTACTGGCATTTAAACCTCAGTTGATGGCATGTAGCATTGAGGAAAGATGGAAACCTCTTCTCAAGTTCCTTTATTATCTTGGAATCGATCGAGATGGCATGAGAAGAATGCTCGTCATCAAACCAATGGTTTTCTGTGTTGACATGGAAGCTACTATTGTTCCAAAGGTAGTGTATTTATTTTCCTCCTTCCCAAAATAAGCGAACATGCCATCTACGAATCGTATTGGATTAGTTCTACTATAAAAGTATTTTTTAGTTGTATACTACTCTATAGTACAGTATTTTTTTTATTTTCTTTTGCTGAGAAATGCAACTATAGTTGAATGCACCTGCTGTCATCTAGCTTCCTTGACAGGTGTCTTATTATCTTTTGTAGGTACGGTTTCTGCAAGACTTGGGTATCACAGATGATGCCATCGGTCGCATGCTTGTTAGGTTTCCTCCGTTGCTGACATACAGCCTTTACAAGAAAATTCGGCCAGTGGTTAGTTCTCTCTAACATTTGTTGATAATGTTATACTTCCATCTGCCTGGACTGTTTAGGATTGAATCATTAAAGTCTAGTGATAGAATACAGATTGGAGCTTTTCCTTTGTGCCGCTCAGACAACAAAATAATTCTATGCTGGAGTACAATGCTGTTTAATACTTTAACTCATTACTTGATAGTGTCAATATAGGGAAGACTGAGGGGTTGGTCCTGCAGTTAGACTTTTAGTCTCAGTTATATTGAATGATACTCCTAATTTCGGCTGTTCTTTATTCCTTTCTATTTCCCTCTCCTTTAAGCTGGGGCTAGATATAATGAAGTTGAGCTTTGTTACTCTTGAAGTTCAAAATTATTTACTATGAGCTATGGAAAGTGTTGAAAATTGCCCCCTTCACTATAATGTACCTTTGAATCTCGACTTGGTATTAGCTTCTCATGAGTTATTGTGACTCCGGATGCTGATTTATTGGCATTGAATGGCCAAATGTCTACTTATGTATGGCTAAGTCATGATTCACTGCCAGGTTGTGTTCCTACTTACAAAAGCTGGAGTCACACAGAAAAATATAGCGAAGGTGGTGGCTTTGGCACCAGAGCTATTGGGGTGCAGCATTGCGCATAAACTGGATGGCAATGTAAAGTATTATCTGTCGCTTGGGATTAGTCTTCGACTGTTAGGTGAGATGATTGCTGATTTCCCAATGCTCTTGCGATACAATGTCGAGCTTCTCCGACCCAAGTATCGCTACCTGCGAAGAACAATGATCCGTCCTCTAAAGGATCTCATCGAATTTCCAAGGTAAAATCTAAATTATAGCTATATATGAAGTACAATACTTTTGAAATCCTTACTTTTAAAGTAAACAAATTCACCGGATTGTAGATGACAAATGTTTCGGTTGCTTGCTCCTATTACTCCAGAGAAGGAACTCTATGTTTATAACAGTTATAAACAAAATTTGTCATCATTTTGTTAAAATCTTCTCCGAACTCTCTTAAACATCCCCAATAAAGTGCAAATGGTTATGAATTGAGCAAACGCTCCATTATATTGACGAATTCTGACGGCTGTTATCATTCAGGTTTTTCAGTTATTCTCTAGAAGACAGAATCATACCAAGGCACAAGGTTTTGCTGGAGAATCAGGTGAACTTCAAACTCCGGTATATGTTGGCGAGCAGTGATGAGGAATTCAAGCAGCGAGTCAAGGCTGCAGTTGAAAAGCGGCAGAGATTTGAATCAGGCGCTACTGCACTTCATGAAGAACCTGCAGATTCTGAAACTATGGATTATTCTTCTGTTAGTGAACTTGATTCTAGCTCATTCCGGAGTAATGATCCTAATATTGTGCTGTTTGATTCGGGTTGACTATCCCTTGGTCCCAACCCATTGTATACTAACTAGCCAACACTTTATACTCAAATAGACTGTATTATTGAGATGTATAGATGAATAGATCGTTAGATGGTGAAACTAGATTACATAATTACTGTATGAAACTTCATTCATTTGGAATTAATTGTCTAATACTAAGACAACGATAGTAGGTCCAAAAAGTTGTCACCATTTCTAAATAAGGGGTAGTTTAGGCATACACCAAACTCAAGAGCTAGCCTACTAATCGCCAAAATCTTACTCGTATGTATTACAACAGGGTAGTACGAAATTCAAAATTTTAAAGTTAGCTTAATAAATTCACATGGTTACGAAATTCTGTATTAGTGTATGATCAAGGATTTAAGAGATTGTCAGCAAAAGTGTTCTTTGAAATCAATAAATAAATAAATAAATAATCTATCATGATACAACAAAAAGGTCCTATGGTCTAGCGGTTAGGACATTGGACTCTGAATCCAGTAACCCGAGTTCAAATCTCGGTAGGACCTTATTTTGTATTTTTCCTTCCAACATTTAAATACAAAATTCTTTTAAAGACACTAGCAAAGATGAAAACGATTCATTATGGACATTATTATAAGCTAAGCAGCACATTTTCAATACCAGAGTTCTTTAAATAAAACACTTCGTAATAATAAATAAGAAGAATTAAAAAAAAATGAAGTTGTATTGTGTTTTCTTGTTTCTTTTCCACTTCTTTGCACCCGTTGATCCCACCAAAATAGAAATCTAAAAATGAAAGAAAGCAGTCAAGAATTCTAAACATCTACTAATTACACCCTTCACGAGGACGACCCGAAAATCAAATAGATCAATTACAGAAAAAATTGTAGCAGCTTGTTTTTCTGGTTGACTGTCCACAAACAAGCTCAAACAAATGAGAACAATTGGCTGTCAGGATGTGCTGCCTTTCTCTCCTACAAGATGCATCAATCAGTTAGCTCAAAAGTGGTCGCAGCTCGTGAAATTGAGCACCCTTCCAACACATTTTAAACTATCACTGAATCACAAGTAACGGCTGTACACCTCTGAAAACTGAAATAAATTGACACCAAAACTGGCCCCGGAAACCCACTAACTGTAGAAAGCAATACGTGATGCGCTAAACCAGTGAGTCGGGAAGAATGTGAAATTGAACAATTCAATTGACCTTCTTACTCTAATGTTCATCTTGTCTCTGGTCTCTCTATGTCATGCACGTCTACAGGTTCTTGGAATATCTCCCTAGATTGCCGCCGTTGTGAGGACGAATTATCATTCCCACCAACTTGCCCACTGCCTTGAGACCCAGAAGTACCCGATCGTTTAAGACTGCCTGTTCCCTCAACTCGGGGAGCAGGAGGGGCAGCACCCACATCCAAGCTTTGCCTCCAACTTCCAAATACTGAAGCATTCCAAGATCCTCTGGAAGATGTCGTTCGAAGCCTTCCAGAACCAACATTTTCTTCTCTTACCACCTTTAATGGGTTTTCCAATGCTCTAAGGATATATCTCATGAGGGGCCGCCTTGACGACTTTGGATTGAGGCACGATCTAGCAACAATAGCCATTGCCCAGACTTCTTCGAGGAGGTCTTCGTCGTATATTAAAGAAGGGTCCACAATTTTTGTTACGAGTTCCTTGTCATACATATTTATACAGGGCAATGTTTGATCCATCCACTCCTTCATACTGGTATCGTTTGATGAGCTTATGCCAAGTTTGCCAGTGACAAGCTCAAGTAACACCTTTCCAAAGCAGTAAACATCATATGCACAAGTCGATGTCTGAGAACCTGGAACGAAAAATGTATTTTACTGTCGAAGTCTCTTCAGATTAACAAGTCAACAGAAATTTCAGGCAAATCTGATTAAAGGCAATTGTTCAAGTTGCACATCCTCCCCCCATCACAAAAAACAACAAAAGGCTCATGTGACTATATTTTTCCTTTATGCCAGACAACTACCGACCTGCATTTCCTATAAATTACCCTTTTGCATTAAACTACAGTGGGTAGAAATAACTCATATACAATGACCAAAGATAGCTACAGTGAATATGAGAGAAGTATATGATAATGCCACAATAGCTGAGTGCAGAACACCATCAATGGCACACAAAACCTTCATCTTACAACCGAAGTTCACGAAGACTATTTGCTCTTCATCAAAAAATAAAAATTAAAAAACGCAAAGACAATAGGTCAAACAGATAACAATTATTCCATAGGGTCAAAAGCAGCCTGAGTATTCTTCTAATTTCTAGAAACTGTGAAATCAAATGTTTACTAATCATCCATCCTAACATCAATTCATTTCAATTGTGCTGTTCAATGGTCATAAGGCATAACCCATCTTGAAAGAACAAACCACAAAAGCTAAGGAAGTAAGTTGAGTGATTTTCAAGAAATTAGGAGTCCATGTAATGTTTATCATACGTGATAAAACTAATTAACTATCTGTTAGACAAAAGTAGCATTCAGAAATCTCCAACAAAATCGTAGCTCTAATCTCTTATCTCTTAATAAACTGACACCAGGGAAAACTAAAGATAATAAAATTCAAATGTGGTTGACATACCTGATGGGCCTTGTTCAGAGGTCCTGCAGATAAATAAGCAAAGCAAAAGTTAATATAGCTTCATCTTAAGTCTTTTAAAGAACACATAAAGCAGCAGATGAGGTCCATGGACAATTGGACAAACTAGATAGAACACATAAAGCAGCAGATGAGATCCATGGACAATTGGACTAGATACCCAAAACACACGCACGCACGCACACACACACACACACGCACGCGCACGCACACACACACACGCACGCGCACACACACACGCACACGCACACACAGTTAAAAAAAGAAGCAATGACTGCAATGCTTCTGAAGAAGAGAAGACCAGTTTAATCGAAGCAAAAACGGCAGCACTTCTGAAGAGAAAAGACCAATTATAAAGAAGCTAAATCTGCAAAGTTTCCATGACCCTAAATCTATGAATTTTAATAATTCATTCAGAGGAAGCAAAAAAGAAACAAAACAGCATGAAAAAGGACATATAACATCATTTCAGTAGCCAATTCCCTGATGATTCCAACAGCAGAAAATGACTTTGACTTAGGCCAGAAGCCCATTGTAGTTTTGCATGCATATGTTTCGAAGTTCAAAAACCCTAGCACATAAGCTGACAGTAGATGACCTAATTACACCAAAAAGTATACTTACTGTGGCAACCGCAACAATCTTGTAATGACTCCAGGCTGACTATCTCCCTCTTGTATGCAAACATCATTGAGACTGCCAAGTCTTACTTCAAATTTATCATCAAGGAGTATGCTGCTTGCTTGTATATCCCTTAAAGAAGAAAGAGTGAACAAGGTTACAGTTTGCAACAAATTAATGATATATTACCAGTACATAAACAGGACTGCCAGAAGGCAAGGCACAGAGACAGCTCTGATCTACTTATTGAAGCCTAAGCATGAGGGTTGAGGCACACCTCTGAAAACCTAAAAATTGTTATAAAAAAAAAAAATATATATGTTGCTACTAATGAAACTTTTAGACGAGTCAAAGGGAGTGAAAATGTAGTTATTCTAACCTTGTACAAAGCATGATGAAAAATTCAGTGATTATATTGTGTATGATAAGTATTAAGGCACTTTTTAGATTATCATTACAAAGATCAAAGGCTATTTTAAGTGATTCTATAATTTCGTGAATTATATGATGTCGATGAAGAAAACAGTAATAAATAAATAAATAAAACAGTGGCTCTATTACAACTAAACCAGAATAACATATAGAGTTAAACTGTCATATAGCAATAGCAAAAGTGAATCCTCTAATTTTGTCAGGTACAGCCCTTAATTCAGAAAAGGTCCATTGATTTTGATGGATGTAGAAGCGCATCACCAAACAAGAGAACACAGTCAACCATTGTGGCACCTAAGTATAGTCATAGAGGTGAATAGATTGCTATGTACTAGTTTCTAACTGCTACAACCCAATCACATGGATTGAAAAGAACAACAAGAAAATCATCAGGATAAAATCACTTCATAACAGACTAGGATATGCCAGAAATAAAACATAGAGATTCCAAAAAAAAAAAAAATTACAACCTGAGGAGATTAAAAAAAATAGAAAAAAAGTTACCTGTGTACAAACGGTGGTGTACATTCATGATGTAGGTAACATAGACCCTCTGCTACTCCTATGGCTATCTTTAGTCTTGTTATCCAATCAAGGGATTGCAAAGTGTCATCGGTATTGACCTTCCTGAACAAGGAACTTGATAAGTCTGCATTTGGCATGTACTTGTAAACAAGGTATTTCTCATTTTCCTGATCCAAGCAGTACCCCAAGAGCGGAACCAATCTGGGATGTGTTATTTTACTGAAAAAGTCCAACTCTACAAGGTACGATTCCCTTTTTACTGAATTCAAGTTGATTTTTTTAACCACCACAGAGATACCACCTTCAAGTAGACCTCGGTACAAATCACCAGAATGCCCATTTTTAATGAGATTCAAATCACTGAAGTTGCTTGTAGCATCAACCAGCTGCTGATATGTAAATGAATCTCCCAAACTTGAAAAATTAATAGCAACTCCTGGTGAAGGAGGAACAGCTCCAGTAGGAGGAATTGGACCCACACCGTTCCCTCTTTGCCTTGTACCATGCCTCCTTCGGGAGCATATGAATAGTATTAATAGCAAAAGCAACAATAGCAATAGACCAATGCCCCCCAAAACTGCAGCCAATATAATAGTGCGCTTGTGACTCTTTTTCTTAGGCACTTGTCCTGCCCCCGGGGTGACATCAGAACTTGGAAGCCCAAAGTTGTCGAAAACCAAATCCTTAGAAGCATAAAACGAAGAACATTCCTCCTTTGTCCTCTGACCTGTAGCATGTTGCAGACAATTGGCTCTAACAGATGCACCATCATTCACATATTCTGGTAATTTGCCCTCAAAATAATTGCCAGATATATCAATTGAACTAAATGTCTGCAGCACCAAATTCAGTCCCCCATAAAACTCATTATTAGAAAGATTAAGCACTGCAGCAGTGGCATTGCGACTCAAGGTAATGTTCGGAAGAATACCAGTAAAGGTGTTTCCAGAGATATCAACAAGCCGCAATGCAGAGATTGACCACAATGCATCAGGAACAACACCCGTAAAGTTGTTGTGGCTCAAATCCACAATCTCCAACCTGGTCAAAACTGGAAACAAATCATCTGGCAGTGAACCTGAAAGTTTATTGTTCCCCAAAACCATTGTTCTCAATCTCCGCATTCCTCTAAATTCCAGAGGCAGTGAATTCACCAAAGAGTTAAAGCTCAGGTCAAGGTCAACCAAACCTCTAAGATCACCAAGTTGAGGAGGAATAACAGACATTAGACTATTATTGGATAAATTCAAAGTCCTGAGATTCTGCAAAACCCCAATACCACGAGGGATCGGCCTGGAGAGGGAATTCGACGACATATCAAGAAACGAGAGGTTCCTAAGCGAGGAAAAGGAATCCGGAATTGACCCATTAAGCGAATTGTGGGAAAGATCAAGGATGTTAAGGTTCACCAATTGACCCAAAGTAGAGGGGACAACACCACTAAGATCATTACTAGACAAATCCAAAGTTGTTAACCTACTCAACCTCCCCAAGCTCAAAGGTATACTACCATTAATAGAACAAGAATGAAGATCAAGCACCTGCAAACTATCCAACCTAAAACCAAACCATTCGGGTATTCGACCAGGGAGCTCGAATAACGAGGCATTAAACGACACTAAATTGGTCAAATTACCAAGAGCATCAACATCAAATTGAGGGTTTAGACCCCCAATTCTAGTCCTTCTAAACCCTGAAATATTAATCCCAATAACAGAACCATTACTACTACATTCAATTCCTTTCCAAGATGTACATGGGTCTGGCTTAATCGGCCAGTCCCTTGCTCGGAGACCGAGTGACGATCTGAGTTGAATCAGTGCAACTCGCTCAGACGGCACTGTAACTCGTTGTTGCTGCTGTTGTTGCTGTTGACCAACAACCAAAACCAATGTACTCCCAAATCTCAACAACCAACACCACAATAACACTAATTCTATAAAAATTAGCAAATTGGGTTTTCTAAATCCACCCATTTTCAAGCAACCAACAACAACAACAATATACAAAAATTAAGTTTTAGTGATCTACACATCTTTTCTTTTCTTTGTTGTTGCTCAACTCACTCCCATTTTTATGCAACAGTTTTTTTGATAAACAACAACATCAACAACAATGCTCAATTGCATAAAAAAATTTAAAACAAAAAATTATAAAGATTTCAACTTTTTTATTTCTAGAGAGAGAAAAATAAAAATTAGAAGAAAAAAAAAATTATGTAGGTGAGCTTCTTAAATTACCTCAATTTTGAGAAGCTTGAGTAGTGAAAAATCAAGCTTTACTTCTTTCCCACCAACTATTTTCTATCTCTCTCTAGAAAAAATTAATTAAATTCTTGGAATTTCTTGGTTGACAATGGGGTTTTGTGAGAGAAAGAGTATTTTCAGATCATATAATTATTTTTTATAAAAAATAAAAAATTATATGGGTATTAATATAAATATTAATGGGAAATTAATATTGTGGTAGGAGAGAGAAAGAGAGGGAGGAGAGAGATTTAGATGGCTTGCCTTGAAGTTGGGCTGGTCAAGCCGTCTGTAAAAAAAATTAAAAAAAATTAAGAAATTTATTTATTTATTTAATTCATTATTTAATTTTATTTTTAATGAAGGTGTCACTCTCTAACACACAAAGGCACAGCCAACTTTAATTACCAAAAAGTTTATAAAAAAAGTACTCTTTTTAAGATGATGACATGCAACTCTTTGGTTTATATACTCTTTGATTTTCTCTTTGCTTTGTTGTTGTCGTAATTGGTTGGAGGACTTTAGAAAAGTCAAAAACTAAATAGAATATTGTAAAATATTGTGAATTTTTTTTTTTTATATAAACAAATTAGTAGTCATTACTTTAATTGGCAATTTGTTTTTAGTAGTATTGAAAAGGTCTTAAATGTACATACATTTTTTTAAAACAAATTTTGGGTTGTATAAAATAGTGAGCTATTTATTTAGTGTATAAGTGGAATATAATCAAATTTTATTGTTTACCCTTTGACAAGATTTATCTAAATTAGGGTTGCAGATTATAAATTTCTTTCTCCGTAAAATAATAGTCATTAGTGTAGTGTTAGTTAAAATAATAGTCTAATCATATTTTTACTTGCTATTATTGAAATAAAAGTAACAATATAAACATGTATTCAACTAAAACAAGAGAGTTAGTAGTAATTCATGTATAAGACAGTCTAAACAAATGTTTATAGTCATGAGAGCTAATTTCTGTGACTATTAAGGACTTTCGTTCGTATTTTTCATAAACTACTTTTTTTTTGGTGAGATCATAAACTAATTTTGACAGTATTTCTTATGCAAAAAACAACATTTTGATTATCATCCAAAGAATTCTATTTATAGAAACAAATAACAAGTTAGTCCAGGTAATGAAATCATATCATATCTTTTAATAATCATATTAGATGTTTCCATACCTTTTAGCCAGAAAGATTTTGGAAACATATCCCTCAAAGACCACAATCTTATGCCCAAATCAATACTAATGGTCATAGTCTCATAGACTCATTATACGAGTATAATTGACCACTCCTAGAAAAGGTTAGAAACTCAATTTTATTTATTCATATAAAAAACAATAATATAAAGGTAAGTAAATAAATTGATTATATTGGGTTTATACATAGTACTTGGTATTAGCATTTGCAGATAGCAATGGAGGAATTATGTCTTTGGTGAGGACAAAAAGTGGTGCAATATGCCGATTATGATGATGTACGCATAGTATTCAGTAGTATAGTGTTTCGTATTGTTTTGGTGTTTAGAGAGTCATAAATAACAATAATATTATGTACGAGATTCGTGTTGCCAGAGCTCCGGTATGGCAATAGTTGACTTTCCGGTGATGCTGCTAAAGACAGCTAAGCTATGTTATTTGGATCGATCTAGCTAGTAATAATGGACCTTGTAATATTTTGATATGCTCTAAATAAAATACTTTACTGTATAGTGGTACATATTTAATGCAAATCTTTGACAAAAATCACAACATTACATGCCTGAAAATTCATATAGGACCAGTAAACTTCTGCAGCATGTGTTTTCCAAATTTCCAATTAATAATAATCAAATAATAAGGTTGAAAGTTTGACAAAATAAAAGTGATCCATATTTGCCCTTCATACTTCTAACAATATTTCAATTAATACGTAGTCCGTATAACCTATGGCATGTGTACTCTTTTACAGCGTTTTAATTCTTTCAAATACTCGTATATGATGACCAAAAAAACATGTATAAATAATTGCACCAATTAAGGAATAAAAAACATGTATATATATATGAATAACATAATATTGTATATTTATAGTTTTTGGTGCAAAGAAAATTTCAAAGGCAAATGTATGAATAAATGTTATTCTGTGGATTTATGGTAGACATGATACTTGACATCTACTTGTACATTTTATAATTTCTAAAGTTACACATTTGTAAGAACAACATATCTCTATTCAAAAACAAAAAAAAAAAAAAAAAAAAAAAAAAAAAAAAAAGAACAACATATATTGCAATAATTTACATGAAACAATTTTGATGAGCTACTCGTAATAACTACTTGAACAATTCTACCAAGTAAATACTTATTACTCTGTAGAATTGTTCAAACTATGAATTGAAATTTTGCAATATTTAGTGACTAATTTATGAGTAATTTATTACTAAAATACTCCGTATTACTTTAGTGATAAACTCCTAAAAAGTACGTAGTAATTTGATTGAAATGATCATATGTTCACGCGCAACTGATAATTATTTACTCCGTACATTGCATGCATATTTGTGGACATTGTGGTAAATTCTGTTTTTTTTTTTTTTTACCCATAACTAAAGCTTCTTAATTTCAACTATATATTAATTAAAAAGGCAAAGGTATTTATTAATTCATTATTTGCTTAATTGGAATTCAAAGGAGTACTACCAATGCTGCATAGAATAGAGTTACTATCAGATTAGTCTACTGTATATATATGCTGTTGCTGCTTTAGTTAAAATAGGAGGCCTGCCAACGGTCTTAATTATATAATTAAGATTTGTCAAAGAGAATTTCTTATGCTGTTTGCCATTTTATCCATTTTAAGTAGCCTGTATTTCCCCTCAAAAAAGTTTAAAATAATTATCTAATTTGTACTTATTCTACATTTTAAAAAAATTTATATATTTGGAGACTTATTTATTCGTTTGTGCTTCTGATAATCAATAATTTAGAAATACTTTCTTCATTTCTTTTTATGTTCGTGGTTGGAAACTGACAACTATACATCACAAATTGATAGAATCTTATTCCCAAGATATAAGAAAGACATGGTCATATTATAGATTCTTTTTTAATCTGAATAAGTATTTTAAGGATATCAACCTGTTATAATTTTTAATTATATGTAACTAAAAATCTGAAAGGTCAAACCATATACGGAGTACACTGAGTGTACATAGCCAAACTAAGAACATCAAACACATATAAGACTATAAGAGGGAGTAATTGATTGGTTGAAGCTAATATACAAAGCCTCCTTTGCCCTCTCCCAACAATTCTGCATGCATCATCCTTGATCCTACCTCTATTTAATCACTCTTTTCCAATAATTTGAGAACCTAGCTATATAGTCAACAGTCTCAACGCTCAACATAACAAACATTTAGGAAGGAAGGAAAATTTCTTGTAGATTAGTATTGATTATTTCTTAAAACCTTCGCTAATTCTACATTTTATAATGATTTTGTGATAATTATATAGACAGAGAGTAACAACGACAAATAAAATAGACGATACTTGATATCAGATCTTGGATACCGCCCCTCAAAACCTTAACCAACTAACACATATTATCTGCCAAAAAAAAAAAAAAGTTATCCTTTTTAAATAAATACTTCTATACAACATAATATAATTAGTGAAACGCTAAACATCGTCCGCAATTTACCATATAAAGCCCACAAATATGATATGGTTTGACCATTATGCCCTTTTTCTAAAATTGAAATAATCTCGGTGTAAAAAATGTGGAGCCGTACTGGCTCGCCGGGGGAGACCGGAGGGCAGGCCGGAGATGCGGGGGACGCCGGAGGTACGTCGTCGTCGATGGAAAACGAGGTAAGTCACCGCTAAAATTCACGGTTTACCGTCGGAGTGGCTCCGGCGCCTAGGGTGGACGCCCAAACCGTAGCCTGGACGTCCAAGCCAGACGCCAGATCCACCAGAGTGGCGTCCAGCCCAGACGCCCAGACCACCAGACTGGCGTCCTGGGCAGACGCCACTCCACTGGGTGAGGAGGCCCTGCCAGGCGCCAGTCCAGTGGTTGTGGCAGCCCTGGCAGACGCCACCTTTAATAATTAATTTTTTTTTTCTTTTTTGATTTTGTTGTTGTTTTTTATTTAATTTTTTTGTAAAAAAAATCGAAAATGATTTTTTAAAAAAATTCGAAATGGGTTTTTTTTAAATTAAATTTGAAAATTCGAAATAGGTTTTTTTAAAATTAAATTTGAAAATTCGAAATGGTATATTTTTAAATTTAGTTTGAAAATTCGAATTGGGTTTTTATAAAAATTAAGTTTGATTATATATAATTATGTTTTTTTTTGTGTTAATTTTGTGTAAATATAGAAATTAAATGTATTATCCGTTAAATGTATTTATTGTAATATATAATTGATGCAGGAATATGGTGGAGACGGAAATGATTACAGTGGGATATTTGGACATGATGGTCCATTCGAAGAATCTCAACAGGCGATTGATTGGGCAAAACAGGTTGCAATTGCAGCTGGATTTTGCTTGGTAGTAGTAACTCATAAATCTCAACGGGATGGTAGAATGGATCGCATTTTGAGATGTGACCGTTATCGCAAAAGAGAAGAAGGAGATTTTCGTACAGCCACTCGGTTTGATACAAAGCGGAAAGGTTGTGGGTGTGAGTTCAGAGTAAAGGTTCGACAACTACGGAGTCGTGACGGTTGGGAAGTGATTGGTTACTCTAAATAGGGGTATCACAACCATGAGATGATAGTATATGAAGAGGGTCATCGACAACTGAGCGGCTTAAGTCCTGCTGCGAAACTAGTTGTGAAAGAAATGAGTGATGCTCAAGTGAAGCCTGCTAAAATATTAGCATCTGTGTTAGAGAAATTTCCAGAAGACCATCCAAACCGAAGACACATCTACAACGTCAGACAGTAACTTAGGTTTGAACGGTCAGAGGGAAGGAACCCTATACAGCAGCTGCTACACCAGGCACAATCACGTGGTTACCTGTTCTGGTTTGATTCTGATGAAGATACAGCGGAGGTGACACATCTTTTCCTTGTGCATCCTGATTGTGCTGATATGATCAAGTCTTGGCCATTTGTGATTTTGATCGACTCAACGTACAAGACAAACAAGTACAAGTTCCCACTGGTTGAGATGGTTGGGATGGCTCCAACGAACCAGAACTTTCTGATTGGTCATGCAATCATCAGGGATGAGACGGCTCCAAGTTATTATTGGGTGTTGGAGAAGCTGAGAAACTACATCGGGCCTAA